TTTATTAAACACAGCATGCTACATGGTACTGTTTACTGTATTCCACGGTTTCTCACAAATGCACCCTCTGCATCGCATCTCCCCATTCACTACCTTGTCCCACAGACCATCCGCTCTGTCTCCAGGCACGGGCGTCTGCTGAGTGTCGTAGCCCATGGCAGGCTTCTAAGTGTCGTGGTCAGTTGTCCATGAGAGTACCCTACGTGCAGTAGTTGTCTGTGGTAGTATTCTCAATGCAGGAGTCCGTGGTAGTGTTCTTACTGTAGTTGTCCGTAGCACAGTATGACCGTTTGTGAGGTGCTTAGCTTAGCTGCAGATGAGGATTCGGATTGTGTTTGTGAGGGGCTTAGCTTAGCTGCAGATGAGGATTCGGATTGTGTTTGTGTGGCCCACTCCGTCTCTCCATCCTTGTATCGCAATCACGGTGTCGTTAGCCCGAAGATAACCCGCACCCTTCGCCTCGGCTGTGGAGGTATGTGGTAGGTATAATATGAGTATACAGACGTAGTGTACTTGCAGTGGAGGTATGTGGTAGGTACAATATGAGTATACAGACGTAGTGTACTTGCAGTGGAGGTATGTGGTAGGTATAATATGAGTATACAGACGTAGTGTATTTGCGTGTTGCAATCCTTACAGGCCACTGTAGAGAATGCACAGGTGTACACAGCTTGAGTAATATTGATACAAGATCAATTGATACATATTGATATTGCACAGGTGTACACAGCTTGAGTAATATTGATACAAGATCAATTGATACATATTGATATTGCACAGGTGTACACAGCTTGAGTAATATTGATACAAGATCAAATGATACATATTGATATTGCACAGGTGTCCACAGCTTGAGTAATATTGATACAAGATCAATTGTGAACTGCTCTGTTCCGGAGAATAATCAACCAATACGTAAACAACCATTAACTGAACTATAACAGAAAGAAATGCGCAGTTTGAGTGTATCGGGATCCGTTACCATGGAGACCAAGGTGGCACTGTTGGACTGGTAGTATATAGATGAGCAACTCGGCCATGGTGGAGATCATGAGATATTCGAATGTACATTCATTGCAGTATGCTCCCAATGGGAATGCTTACATATACACCAAATGTGATTAGGTAATACTTAAAAATAAATCTGATGTGAATAGGTAATACCTACATATACATATGACATGAATTGGTATTACTTACATATACAATGACATGAATAGGTATTACTTACATATACATATGACATGAATAGGTATTACTTACATATACATATGACATGAATAGGTATTACTTACATATACATATGACATGAATAGGTATTACTTACATATACACCAGTGGATAGTAGAGTCGATTTCGTCCTGAAATACTTCGGACTTTGGATGTGGATATCTGCGACGAGAGAATGTGAGGAATGGCGTTTGAAATGGTCGATCAGACAGTTAGTACGTCAATTAATACCACTTCAGTGTAACCAGACGACGCAACAATTAGAAGGCATGGCATGAAGCAGAAGACACGAGGACACTCTCAAGGGACTCGTGGGATATGATCTGTAGAAGCACATACGGCATACATGAAATAGATCTGTATATGCACATAGCTGATATGCAAATGTATCTGTATATGCACATACCTCATGAAAATGCATCTGTATATACACATACCTCACAGGCAGAATATTATATATGTATAAGCATATACGTCATACATAAAATAGATTTGTATATGCACATAGCTCATATGGAAATGTATCTGTATATGCACATACCTCATATGTAAAATAGATATGTATACGCACATACCTCATATGAAAATGTATCTGTATATGCACATAGCTCATATGAAAGATCTGTCTATGCACATACCTCTTATGTAAAATGTATCTGTGTATACACATACCTCATGGGGAAGATAGATCTGTACAAGTGCAGTTGTCGCGTCACGCGCTCATGTCTCGTCGGAGTGAGCACAGGGCACTCGGGTCTGCGCAGAGGACAGAAAGAAATAGGTGACTCGGCAGTAGGTATAATTTAACTATGGGTAGACCCTAAAACACATGATCATGTGACTCAGCAGTAGGTATAATTTAACTATAGGTAGACCCTAAAACACATCAATATGTGACTAAGCAGTAGGTATAATATATCTATGGGTAGACCCTAAAACACATCAATATGTGACTCAGCAGTAGGTATAATATATCTATGGGTAGACCCTAAAACACATCAATATGCGACTCAGCAGTAGGTATAATTTAACTATGGGTAGACCCTAAAACACATGAATATGTGACTCAGCAGTAGGTATAATTTAAATAGGCTACTCGGATGATATGTGTATATCAAGACATGAATATGTGACTCAGCAGTAGGTATATATTAACTAGACAGCTCGGATGATATGTGCACACCCTAAAGCACATGAATATGAGAAGAATTCAACTACCCTTCAAGTTACAGTCAGGCTACGTCAATCGAATATCCATTTAACCACTCCAACCAATACACGTCAACCAGGACATAAATACGGGGCACACCCCTGTCCCAAATCGCACACTTTGAACTGCAAGTCTGGTAGGTACTGGCGTCTCAGCGGTAGGTAATCGGGGCCACCCCGCTCTGTGGTACTGGTATGATGTACTATCAGCTTGCACTATCTCTGCATACGCTACTCATAGTTGTGTGTGTGACATTGCTTCCTAATAATAGGTGTGTGCGACTTTTCTTCCTAATAATAGTTGTGTGTGTGACATTTCTTTTTAATAATAGTTGTGTGTGTGACATTGCTTCCTAATAATAGTTGTGTGTGTGACATTGTTTCCTAATAATAGTTGTGTGTGACATTGTTTACTTGCTACCATATAGTCACAGTAGGCCATTCCTTTATCTGTATTTCGATAACAAGTACTTGCTACCATATAATCACAGCATGCCATTCCTTACCTATATTTGGATACGTAGGCTGCCGTCCGCCCACTGCTGGTCAGACAAATAATGGCAGCAGCTGACTGCGAATACGCCGCATTCACCGCCGCAATGGCAACGGTCTCCTCAGTGTCACGAATACCTGTGCAGGAAGATACAGACAAGGTTATATATATATATATAAGAGGTTACATATTTATGCGTACATGCAACAAAAAAAGAGCACGAGGTGGTGGAAAAGGAGACAGCGCGTGCATTCACACGGGTGTGCGTACAGAATCGCAATCTTCAATTCTTCAGAGGGAATGATAGAGCACACAGCAACACTCGACATACGTCCTCATTCTGATGCAGTAATATGGCAGTGGTCTGATTCCCCACATACTACAAACACAGCTCACTTGACATACGTCCATATTCTGATGCAGTATGATAGCAGGGGTCTGATTCCCCATACACTACAAACACAGCATGACATACGTTTGCTCGCATACACATGCATAGCTACACTCAGATAACTCATGTGACATACGTTTGCTTGCATACACATCCATAGCTACACTCAGATAACTCATGTGGCATACGTTTCTATGCTACACACATGCATAGCTACACTCAGAAAACTCATGTGGCATACGTTTCTATGCTTTACACATGCATAGCTACACTCAGATAACTCATGTGACATACGTTTCTATGCTATACACATGCATAGCTACACTCAGATAACTCATGCGACATACGTTTCCTTGTATAATCCATAAGTTCGTTGAAGAGTGGTCGGTAGAACATGGCACTCTCCGCCTCTGTGGAGTTTATACAAGTGATTTTAGGGTTTAGGTTTTAGGGTATTAGGAGGCAAAGGAGAAGCAACTGTTATTGAATGGAATACTATAATACTACAATACTACAATACTATAAAACTATAATACTGCAATACTGCAATACAATAATACTATAATACTATAATACTACAATACTACAATACTATAATGCTATAATACTATAACACTAAAATACTATAATACTATAATACTATAATACTATAATACTACAAAACTATAATTTTATAATACGCAACACATACACCAACAATACATGTACACAAGGATGTAAGATGCATACTTCACTGGTCAATGGCACTATACATACACCACCAATACATGATACAAGGATGTAAGATCACTACATACACCAACAATACATGTACACAAGGATATAAGATCACTACACATACACCAACCATACATGTACACAAGGATGTAAGATCACTACACATACACCAACAATACATGTACACAAGGATATAAAATCACTACACATACACCACCAATACATGTACACAGGGATGTAAGATCACTACACATACTCCACCAATACATGTACACAAGGATATAAGATCACTACACATACACCAACAATACATGTACACAAGGATATAAGATCACTACACATACACCAACCATACATGTACACAAGGATATAAGATCACCACACATCCACCAGCCATACATGTACACAAGGATACAAGATCACCACACATACACCAACCATACATGTACACAAGGATGTAAGATCACTACACATACACCAACAATACATGTACACAAGGATATAAAATCACTACACATACACCACCAATACATGTACACAGGGATGTAAGATCACTACACATACACCACCAATACATGTTACAAGAAAGATGCATATATCACTGGTCAATGACACTATACATACACCAACAATACATGTACACAGGGATGTAAGATGCATATATCATCACTTCCTGTGCTATGAGAGCATATCATGACGCACAAATATACACAAGGATAGAATACTTGTATCATGTACACACCAATATAACATACACAAACACCTACGTTACATATACAAAATATACAACCACCTACAATATCAATATAACATACACAAACACCTACAATATCAATATATCACACACAAACACCTACAATACATATACAACATATACAAACACCTGATACTTATAACATACTCAAAACACCTGCAATACCTATACAATATATACAACCACCTACAATACCAATATAACATACACAAACACCTACAATACCAATATAACCTACACAAACACCTACAATACCAATATAACATACACAAACACCTACAATACATATACAACATATACAAACACCTGATACTTATAACATACTCAAAACACCTGCAATAAATATACAACATATACAATCAACTACAATACCAATATAACATACATAACCACCTACAATACCAATATAACGTACACAAACACCTACAATACATATACAACATATACAAACACCTGATACTTATAACATACTCTAAACACCTGCAATACATGTACAACATATACAAACAACTACAATACCAATATAACATACACAACCACCTACAATTATTGTAGAACATGCCACAACAAACATCCCCTACCCGTGCACACTCTGTGCATCATAGCCACAGCCGACACGTGGTACTTCCCCCGCGAGATCTCGCCACTCAGCATGACACAATCCGCGCCGTCTAAAACCGCGTTGGCCACGTCGCTGACTTCGGCGCGCGTGGGTCTAGGGTTTTTGGTCATGCTCTCAAACATCTGCGTGGCGCATATGGAGGGCTTGCCCGCCAGATTGCATTTGGCGAGCATCATCTTCTGCGCCAGAAACATCTTCTCCGGGGGGATTTCCACGCTGTGGGTAGAATACGGGTGTATTTAAGGTTTTGGGTTTAGGGTTTTAGGATTGTAAGGTTTTAGGGTATTAAGGTACCCTAAGCACAGCGACATGCAACAAGCACATGCAAGAGTAGCGTGCTTAATTGTATTAGTAGGTGTGTATAAAGCGCAGATGATGATAAAACAGGTACATGCAACAAGCACATGCAAGAGCAGCATGTATAGTTGTATTAGTAGGTGTGAATATAACACAAATGATCATACGACAGGTACATGCAAAACGCACATGTAAGAGCAGCATGCTTAATTGTATTAGTAGGTGTGTATAAAGCGCAGATGATAATAGGACAGGTACATGCAACAAGCACATACAAGAGCAGCATGCTTGGCTGTATTAAAGCGAGTCTCACAATGGATGCACCCTATAGGTCTCCATAACACCACAACACGTACTGCGCCAACCAGAAGGCACGTACTGCGCCAACCAGAAGGCATAAACAAACAGCCTATGTATAGAATAGGACAGGACAGGACATGACAACGAACCCGCACGACCACCAGCACAGTCATACCACATGAACATCCGAAAATGTATGTAAAATAGTATACGTATGTACATATAGACGACTAGTACAAACGTACAATCAGATACGTATGTAGGTAAAATAGTATACGTATGTACATATATATACGACTGGTACAAACGTACAATCAGATACGTATGTATATATAGACCAATAGTCCACTGGGGAATGCATATACATGTACACATACACGATGTCAAACAATTGTTCACCCAGACGATCACATTAGCACAGGCCACCCCAACAGCCCACCACAGCTCTCATTAAACGCATTGCGGTAACCGCCCAAAGGACGTCATCTGAACATACGCAGACGCCCATCATCACCTGTCCATATATTCGCACACGCACACACACACACACACACACGCACACACACACACAATTACACGCACACGCACACCATACACACATACATACACGCACACGCACAGGCACACGCAAGTACACGCACACACATACCCCATGTGGCCCCTGCCCACCAGAATACCATCCGACTCAGCTAGGATGGAGTCAAAGTTCTTGAGACCTTCGTGATTCTCTATCTTGGCGATGAGCTGTTTTTGTGGCACGTGGTTGTCACATGGCAGACGGGTTTTAGGGTTTTAGGGTTTAGGGTTTTAGGGTTTTACGCTTACGTCGCGTGCAATGGTCTCAGATGGCGTCTGGTGATGCGGAATGGGGATTAAAAGTAACCCAGAATGTAACAAAACGCCCCAGTGCAGCAATGAGTTGATTATGTTGCGGGGCACCATGCCATCATGCGGGAATACTATGAGATGATATACAAAACAGTAAGTCAATTTTATATATTAGAACAGTCATCTAGCGTCGATATCCTCTCTTCCCTAGGCATACGTGTGGTACGACAGAACGAGAACTCTCAAATCAACGTATACACATACA